GATGCAATGGCCTTCTCTCTGGGGCTCAAATGGGCACAGGGATGTTTTTGGCTTTCACAAATGGTGGAATGCTCCTGGCATCTAGTGGGTGGAGACCAGGGATGCTGTTACAAGCCCTACAGTGCATAAGATAGCCCCCACAGCAAATAACCATCTGGCCCAAATGTCAATAGTGCCGAGGTTGTGAAACCCCGGGAAAGACCAATTATGGCGCATTGCTTGGAACTGAGCATGTTGCTCCCTTGAGTAAAACAGGATTTGTGTAGGTATCTCACAGCACTCAACATGGGCAGCAAATGGGCCCTCTGGCAGGAGCCCTGCTCCTGTCTGCATGGCTGGCGTCCTGGGCAAAACAAATTGGGTTAAGAGGTGAGGAGGCCAGTAGTCTCATGGGGAGAAGATGGATACAGTGGTGTTTCAGAAGTTTTCCATATTCTCTGAAAGGTAGACTGTATGTATAACGTGTTAATCTTCAGTACTTGTCTCTAGGATTTAATCACTATGTCCAGGGCATTAATATTACCTTTAACAGTAATTTCTTAAGGAAGTGATTCCCTGACTCATCACAGGAATCAGATTCTTGGGCTGTGTTACAGTTAGAATGGCCTTTGTCCTTTAGAATGTTTGTATTTTCCCAGGATCCTCTCGAAGAGGTACACGAGGAACAGGAAGAGGCGTGCTAAACCTTGGACAGCTGCTCCTTTAGTTTTCCGTTAGCATTTGAAAAATGTCTCTTTCAAGCAGTGTTCATTAAGATTTTAATTTTGCAGTTTGTTCCTTTTTAAGTGACATGCAATTAATTAAGGTTTAATGTGTCATCTATTTTTTGCAATGACACTTTTACTGCCCCCTTTTCATTTCAGTCCGTTTATAAATTGTACTGTAGCTAATGAGTTCCACCCTGATTTCCAGTTCCAAATAATTACCACTCTTCTAATATGGCTATTCTTTAATGTGTCACAGAATTAGGAGCATTACCAGGTGAAACCAGGGGAATTGGATCTGCCTGGGCCCTGGGCCGTGGGGCTGCCGGGCTCCCCTGCTCTGCTCAGTTCAGCACATAGCGACCAGTCACCACAGTCAGACACCTGGGTCTGTGTGGGACAGAGGTCTCAGCCAGCCTGGTCCCCGGGAGCTCTCAGACTAGATAATCGCCCCACTTCGCATCGCTTTGCCCGTGGAAACATGACTGATGGGACTTGAAATCCTGAGTGATTTTTAACTGTATATGGGGCTGAGATTGGACCAAGATGAATTGAACAGCAATTCCTTATTAATTCTGAAACTTACGAAGGATTAGGAGGGCCCGGCGGGTGGTGTGGATTTATTAAGGAAGTGACTAGTGTGAGACTGAGGATGTAAGAGTCAGGGTTTTCCAGGGAAACAGAACCAATGAGTGATATACTAGTATATTAAGGCGTTTATTAAGAGATGTAAGGAACTGGCTTATGTCGTGGTTTGAGAGTTGGCAAGCTCGAGGTCTGCAGGGCAGGCCAGTGGGCTAGACACCCATGTAGGAGCTGATGCTGCAGTCCTTCTTCTCCGGAAATTCAGTGTTTGTTTTTAAGACCATCAGCCGATTGGACGAGGCCCACCCAATTCATCTCAGGCAGTCTCCATGACTTCAAGTCAACCGATTGTGGATGTTAACCTCATCTACAAAATACCTTCACAGCACACGTGGTTTGTGTTTAATTGTGCCTGGGCTGAGGGTCATGGACTTCGACTTCTCTCTTACCAGCTTCGAGAGCTCAGGCAGGTCCCTCGGCCACTGTGACCACCATCCATCCTGGAAAAAAACCTTTATTAAATGTTTGCCTCCCATCAGCCATCTGCTGTGTGGTGAGAAAATAAAAGTGAGGTATGGCCTCCGTACTGGAGGAGCTCAGAGTCTGGGAAAGACGACAGAGGCACCATCAACTCACCACTCAGTGTGAGAAGTGCAGGCCTTCCATTTCTGCAAGATCACAACCCTTCCATCCTCACAGAGATCCGCGGGAGGGGGGTGGGGGAGGTACTAAATAGATGCAAGGGACCGGTACTGTTGGATTTTTTGAACATTCTAGCAGCAACAGTCACCTGTTCACAGGGCACCTGTGTTGTCTTCATCTCTCCATTGCCGGAAAGCCGAGAAATCCCCTTTCTTCAAAAATCCCCATGTTTTGGTGCCCAGGTCGGGTGGTTTTATTTAGGAAAGAGAAGCCATTAAGCGGAGCGTGTGAAGGTGGGTTGTGTTATGATAGAAAAACTCAGCAGGGGACGGTGGAGGCAGGTTGGCCCACCTGGCTGGGGTGAGTCTGCTATTAGGTATTGGAAGGTTGACCTTGGTTTCATTCCACTTGCGACCTCCATCATAACTGTCTGTGTTTTTCAGGGGCGGATGTCCACGCCAGGGACCCGCACCGTGGGATGTCGCCCCGGGAGTGGGCCACCTACACGGGGCGGACGGAGGCGGTGCGCCTCATCGGGAGGCTGCTGGAGCGCCCCTGCCCGGAGCAGTTCGGGGAAAAGTACCGGCCAGAGCTGCCGCTGCCCCTCGAGGGGGCTCAGAAGCCAGGGAGCTCCAAAAACTGCTTGCAGAGGCTCACGGAGTTTGTGCGGTCCTCGCTGACCTCCCGCGCGCGCCAGGGCCTGGAGGACGGGGGCGTCCTGGACCACATGGTCAGGATGACCACGAGTCTCTACAGTCCCGCTGTGGCCATCGCCTGCCAGACCGTGTGCCCCGAGCACGCCCCCTGCGTGGGGAAAAGGCGGCTGGCAGTACAGGAAATCCTGGGGGCTCCCGGGGCCCCCGACACCCGGGCCCAGGAGAGGGACCAGGTGGAGGACCCCGAGCAGCAATTCCGGACCTCCCAGGCGGGGGGTGCCTCCAGAGAGGGGCCCCCGAGAGCCAGCCTCGCGGCTTCGCT